GATTCGTCTCATTGAGTCACGTCAGCTTTCAGTGCTAACGCAACAGTTAACAGAAGTTGTCTTAACCTGCCTTGCACAGGCTGGCAACCAGTAATTACTATTGAGAAGTACAAAAGAGGGGTGAAAATGAATAAAGGAACTGCTCTACAAACAACACGAGTGAGTCTGATATTCCTGATCCTGTACTGTGACAGATTTTTGTATGTAAGACTACATACAAAAGAATGGAATACCTTCAGTGCTGCTCAGTGCTACTGAGGGAATTTGAAAGTGGAAAAGATCTAAAACGGAACTCTACAAGGTAAAGGGGTTACACCTCAAATAGTCAAAAACGTAGTAAATTTAAGTGAGTCTTCAAACAGAAGTGCAGGAATTTCAGTCTAACATCTTACCTGTGACCCTGCAAAAAGAGTGAGTGAATGCTGATCCCTTCATGGCTGCAGTACCATCCCCAGAAATGCGCTGTAGGGACACCCCGTTTACAGAAGAGATGCTGAATTATGTTGCTGCAGTGTTTCCTGTGGTTAATTGGATTCACGGTGGTAATCTGGGAGGAGCCAATAACTATCTTTTCTTAACTTAAGACTGTATGAGGAATGCCTTGCGGGCTATGCAGATAATCATCTCATGAACTGCTTTCTGCGTCTGCCTAGATTTCAGAGGGATTGAGGCAAAGAGGCCACGCCAAGCTCTTCAAAGAACAGAGCCCTTCACACCACCCTGCTCTGTCCATTCCGTTCACCTCCACATGCTATATGCCCCCAGAAGCGTGGGTCTGCACGCACCAGCCAGGTGAGCACAGCTACAAAGGTCACTGTGGGAACGCACCCGCATCTCTGCAGTTCAACTGATACATAACCTTAAAGCACCACGAAAAGAAAATCAGATTCATCCCTTACTGTTCCTATCTGTGGTTACACCCTGAACAATTTTTTTCATTTTTCATCCAGTATAGCAAAGACTGTCATTAAAGCATATATACTGAGTGCAAATTCTCTGCATTAACATCCCACAAGCATAACAAAAAGAAGTTATTCTGAATGCAAAGGATGTGATCTGCTAAAAAAACCAAAGACTTGATTTAATTAATACAAGCCAGACTAAAGTAATAAAACAAGCTAAATAAAATGAGATTTGATGTTCTATTTCACCAAATCAACTACAGTATTATCTGACAAGAAAACAGATTTCATCTATTTTCACAGCTTCGCCACGTGTCTTATTAAAACAAATTAAAAAAAAAAAAAACACACACACAAAAAACCAAAAAACAAAGCACAAACAAACTAGCATTAATTAAATGCTTACTCACTGCTCATCATTAATACCTCCCAGTTACTTAGAGGGCAAAAAAAAGTATGCTTGCAAGCTTCTGTAGATGGGGATGTGTTTTTTATTTAAACAAGTTACAGGAGACAACTGGAGGCTGATGCCAACATATGTGTTAATTCCAAACGTGTTGTCTCAGATAAACACCTGCCTTGCTGTCAGGAGGGAGATGGAGCACACAGAAGAGGATCAAATGGTTACAGTAATTTTCAGAAATAATGATGTAGCAAGTTGTCACCGTTACTGTTGTATGGTAATAAAGAAGAACAAGGCAACTACTTGAAAAAAGGACCAGGTAGTCCTTAACATCACGCTTTTTTGTACTGATATTGCAGGGACACAAAAGAAATCATGGGCATGAACTCAACTGCAGCTGATCATTTTAGTAAATAGCTGACATCATACATATACACACATATCAGGCCATCTGTGCAAAAAAGTCTTAATTGAAAATGGGACTTAAAGAGTCTGAGGTGGACCCTGGGCAGTAACCAAAGCACATCACTGCCTCAGAGGCAGAACGCAGCGCTGAGCTCCTACAAATTAAATGCCTTTGGTGGGAACCTGCTCTAAAATCTGGTAAAGCATTTGGTAGGAGGAAGTGAGCAGATTTGTTAGCAGATGAAAGAACAGAAATACGCTTCAGACAATTAAGAAACATTAACTAAATGGAATTCTTAATAGAAGCATAGCCTTTTTTGGAAAGTTTACACTGATTATACAACAGCAATTCACTTATTTGACTCTGGAGGAAGGTTTGGTTTTGGATGGTTTCAACGCTTGGTGCAGCAGCCTGCTGCTCTGCTGCATCCGTAGGTATTAGTGAGTTGCTGCCTCTCATTCCTGCACTTGCACTCTTCAGAAGGAATGGCAGCTCATTCAGCTGAACAACTGATTTTTTCCCAGAGGTCTGAAAAGCTGAGCTAGTTCCAGGAATGGGTGCCAAACATGTTTGTTCCAACAGGCCCTGTCATTGCATTGTTGTTAAGATGAGGCTTTGTGCTAGGGATGACTTTTTGGGGGAGTCAGCCATTAGGCTGAAATAATCTGCTATTTTCAAAGGAAGAGTGCTCAGAGTAGGTGGGAAGGTGGTGACTAAACTAACAATCTTTCTCTCCATGTTTGGCATTTTCCTATTTAAACAAAATAAGAATCCCATGTCCTCTGGAAAATTCTTTTGAACTGTGAAAACCACTAAAAGACATTAACAGGCTTTTCAGGTAAGCAGAGCAGGGTCACCAGGCTGCGGCAGCTCATTCCCCCAGCATCACATGGGCTGCCTCCCAGCAGCAGCTCTGCAGTGTGATAAGCAGAGGCACCTGTCCCATGTCCTTAGGTAGAACTGCATCAGATTAGGCAGGCAGTGAAGTGACTCACAGTGAACCGAATGCAACTGAAATGTCTGACCATCATTTAGACTGCGGTGTTCTCGTTGCTACACAAGAGCACCAAACTGTTCTAAAACCTTCTAGTTTACTAAAGCTTATCTTTCTTTAAGGTGGATTTGAATTTAGCACAAGCCGCATATTTAGATTTCTAGCTGGCTTGAAACTTCTCCAGCTTCATCTTTTGCTTTTTGCTCTTCTTATAGTTTGGGTAATGAAAATCAATGTAGCTTCATTTTCAGCTTGCGTGAAAACACTGCAGGGAATGCTTTCATTCTTGTGTTTTTCAGAAACAGTATGAAATTTTTTTAAAGACTTCTTACAGGCTTTGCCATCACACTGTAAATTGATCATAAAAGCACCTCAATTACACCAGCACTGTTACTCTTGTGAGACACATACACGTGTAGATGCTTCATGAGATCCCAGAGCAACAGCCCACTGAGGAGCCCCGGCCTCATTTGTCATCTGTACTTCCTACATTCATTCCTTTCCTCTTTTGTTCCACTTTTGGATAAAACTGACAAGATGGAATACAACAGAAATGCAGTGAAATGTTAGGAAAAGGCAGAACTGAAGATTTCAGTTCAAGAGCATTCTAAAACTGACAAATTGCATCACGTGTTACTTATAGATCATTCAGTGCGCTCACAATGCAACAGGTGACCACCAGCTATGGAAACAGGCTACAGGCACTTGTTCAGCCACAGGCTTTGAAATTAGAAGTGCAACTTCAAGGAAATACAGGTTGAAAAGGGAGAGGAGAGCTGCCACTGGGCTACAGCAACCCACTGCAGCTCTGCTTTGTGAGACAGCTCATTTTCTGACCATGGAGCACAGAGGCAAAGCCCTCATCCAGTCATTGCCTGCTTTGGGTTAGCAGCTCTATTTCTGAAACACCAAATGTTGGGTTGCTGGAAAACAGCAAAGTTAGGCAATTAATTCCTTCCCTCATACAACTTCTGAAGAGCCACCACAGGCTTTGCTAATTTGTGCTGACCTTTCCAAAAGCACTGCTTAATGTATGCATGACATCTAGCAAACATAGGCCCTGCAGCAGAACAGGTATGGAGGAAACACACAACAAAGCTCAGCTGTTCAAGAACAGCACATAAGGTGGCAAAGAGGGACTGGTGAGGAAATGAAGGAGATGGGAGGTAGGCAGTCCTTTTAAAAACACACGCAAGGAACAAAATGCTCGAGCTTTGCCATGTGAGGACTGCTGGAGTGAAGAAGCAGAGCAAGTCAGCAAACTGGCCAGGGAGCATCAGGGAGTGTCAGGAGGGACACAGCCGCTCATGAGGGCTTTGCTGGCTCTCGGGATGAAATTCAGGCCAGGAAGTGCTCCACTGGAGAGAAACTGAAGGAGCAGGTACGATTTTATGTTATTTACAACAAACAGCTATCCAAAACCAGGAGCAAAGTCGTTTACAAGTTCTTCTGACAAACAAGCACAGCCAGCATTCGGGCACCGCCGTTCCCGTTCTCTGCGGTGCGAACGCGGCGTTGCGCAGCACCCCGGCGCTGTGCGAGGCGGGGCAGCAGCACCGCAATCCCGCGCCGCGTCTCCCCGCGCCATTCGGCGGCTGTCCCGTCCGCTCGCGGCTCCCCGGCAAACCGCGCTCGGAGCCGTTCCCGTGTTTCTGACGGAGACCTGAAGGCACGCCGTTAGGGTCGGCCCGCCGTTAGGGTCGGCCCGCGCTGCCGCTGTCTCAAACCTAGTAAGAGGATTACACCGCTAATTATAGCTCTGGAGCGCTGTTCTTACAGCACGGCCTCGAGGACCGCCTCCGCCGCTCGCTTTGCCTTTGTTTCCTCGCACATGTGGCTCTGTGTATGTTTTATTACACCAACCGCCCACGACAAGCACAGAGGGACGGATGTTTCAAGCAACACGTCATTGCAAACGCCAGCATCAGCGCTGCGCGCGTCCTTTCGGGCTCCATTACCCAACGGATACCCCGCCCCGCGCTGCCCCGGCGGCCCGGGACGCCTCGGGCGCGGCCGCCTCCGGCCGGGGCGTGGCGTCACCCGCCGCCACTGATCGGCCGCGCTGGGCACGGCGCCGGGACGGCCGCGCGCAGGGCTGGGGGCGCCGCACCCACCTGCACCGACGCTCCGCCGCCGCTCCGCCGCCGCTCGGCGTGGGGAAGGCGGGGCCGGGCCGGGCGCATGCGCTGCTGGCGGGGGAGCGGAGTGTGGCGGTGCCGGGCCTTGGGAGGGCGGCGAGGAGGCGGCGGTGGGAAGCTGGGATGCGGTGTAACATCTCTTACCGCTTCCCGAGGCACCGCTTTGCTTCCTTCCCGTAGGCGCTGCCTGGCGTCCCGAGGCAGATTCCCAGGCTGCGTCAGTAGCGAGGTTGGGTGAGAGGAAGAATTCCTGCTGGCTTGAAGAAGTAAAGGCGCAATGATTTGTAGCAAAATTTTAGAAATACAGCTGTTGAATTGTATTACGTGGTTAGTTCTTGCTTGCAAAACTGTAATGGCTTTTAGATGTTGTGAATAGTTAAGGATGTAGCATTATAGACTAGAAAGCATGTTGTAAGGCTATTCGGCTTTACAGCAAAAGAAACAATAATTGAAACCATGTGAGTAGGCTTGCCAGGCATCAAAAGAAGCCTCCTTGTCTTCCAGCACCCCGGTGTATAGCATTAGAAGGCAGGCTGCCAAACTTACCTCTATCCAAGAATAAGCAGGTGCTCAGAAATAAGGGCTGAGTGAGCAAACACTACAATTTTGGTACCTGTAAATTACTTCCTATAGCCATTCTCATACTGAACATGTGTCAGTGAAGAGAGTTCATGTAGAGGGTGAGTGAAGAAGACCACAGGATGAAGGAAAAGGCTGCTGAATGGGCTGTCATGATGCTAAACGGACACCAGACGGTAGAAGAGACCATGGAATAGAAGACTGGAAACCTGATAAATCACTGCCCGAGATAGGTGTGTGTATGTTAATTATCTCATGGGTAATGATGAATATGTACTATCTGTGCAAATTGATGGACTCTGAATCATGTCATCTTTGAAGCACTCATGGTGGAAATATCCCCAGCGCTTCCTGGCACTGCTGATAAAGAATGCCTGACTGAACGGTAACAAACCTGTGCTGTTAAGTTTCTAGGCATCGATTTCTTCGATCTGCTCCTCAGCAGGAGCACTGCCATGGGCAGCCCTGGCAGGTGGTGGAGCCTCTGCTGGGCCTGGCCTGGAATGCTGAGCTGTGTGTGACTTCAGATACCTGCTCCCACATTGGTGCTTGTGTAATTACATGATACACAAACTTCCTGCAGGAAGAAGCATGCGTTCAAGTTTGGTGATGTTTCTGGGTACATTAGTGAGATTCCGTAGGGCTGAGTTCAAAGCAGACACCCGTGGAGTAACTCCATGAGGCTGAACCCACCTTTCCCAGATCTATGTCCTGCTGTTTGGATCTTAAAAACCTTACCTGGCTGAAATTTATTATTATTATCAGCACATGCCACCTTGTGGCAAATTAGCAGCGTGTGTCTGTGTGATTCATTCTCAACTCTTCACACTTTATTCCTTATTAAGATACTTCCTTCTATGTGCCTTGTATTTGGGGGCTCAAATTGCTTCGTCTCAAAGTTCCTGTGCTTCACTGCAGTAGTTCGTACGCCTTTTGGAGATCCACCTGTGATGCTTTGCACTTTGATCTCATGTTCTGCCAAAATAAAGAGTGTTTGTTGGCGAGACATGCTGAGCACTTTCCAGTTCAAAGCCTGCAGTTAGCTGGTGAAAACTGTACCTGGTTAATCTGGTGAGTAAGACGCTGTGAGGAGCACAGGATGTTTGCCTTCAAACTTGTACCATGATTTCTGCATCCGAGTAGCTCCTGCTGCTTCCCTCTCTTGTGCAAGCACTGAATTTAAATGTGTTATTCCTGCTTTTGTTTTTTCAAGTCCCACTTGCTTACTGTCACAGTGTCCTTTTCCAGAGTAAACACAGCGTTTACAAAGATGATTTAGACTTTCACTGCAAGCCTTTGATTTGCAGTGCTTATGCAGGCGCATCACTGCACGGGACAATGTCTCTCTTGTTCACAGTGAACGTCAGTATTATGGGAAGGGAACAAAAGGCTGAAAGGGGTAATCAGCAGATGCAGTGAAATAAAGCTGTAGCAAGAAAAAATAGCTGCAGGGGCTGCTTCTGAAGTTGGAGGGGTGCTCAGTGGAAGGTGGCAATGCTTTCCAAAGAGGCATTCAAGAAATGCTGCTGCAGTAGTGAAGATGTGACCTGGTCTTTATTTTAGTAATCTGCTTTCATCGTTCATCCGTGGGTAATCTTTGGATCTTCTAAAAAAAATCCTTAAGTACTTTTCATTTTATAAAGTCTGTAATGGTTGGAGTTGCATGCAACCCAATAGCTGCAACTTAATATGAGCCACAATGGAAGGAAATAAATTTTAATAGGATACCATAGCAGCTGTAAGTTTGCAGGGAGCTAATTTAAACCATATTCTCTTACCACTCTGCCTTGAGCATTAGAAACAAAATATGTTAAGTGAGGTGTAGTTCAATCTAGTGGTGATTTGGGGATGATTAAAGCTTATTAGTCTACAGGCTCCAGCTTTTTGGTGTTTTTAAATTTTTTTCTCTTTGATTTTATAAGCCTTCAATTAAAGGGGGTTTTCCATGGCTTCCACATTAGCTTGGGTTGGTGGACCTACAAAGGATACATGCCATAATCCTTGTGATGCTAAGTGACTGCTCTCAGTCACCTCTGCACGCATGTGATCAGTTTCTTAATAATCAGTGCCTGCTAAGAGCCTCTGAGTGCATGAAAGCAGCTATCTGATAGCAGAGTGGGTTACTAACTAAATAATAGTTTTCTTTCCCTCTAAGGAAAACAAGTTTACACTGTGGAATGGCCGCTTCCTAAGGGAAATGAAGGGAAATGTTGAAAGAGGAGGGATTAAAGAAGTTTTTGTTTGTTTGTTTGTTTTGTTTGTTTGTTTTATTTTTCCCCTGGAAAGATAGAACAAGGACAAGGAGGAATTGCTTCTTGACAAACTGCATGGGATGGCTGAGAAGCAGAGTGGGACGATGGCTCTATGCTGGTTTTAGTTGCCAAAGCAGAGCAATCTGTCCCAAAGTTTGTGTAGGAAGGCGAGATCAGGAAGGCTGAGCTGCAGATGTGAAGCCTTGTGTTAATGGTTTTCAAGGCACTGAACAGAACCCAGAGAGACTTCAGGATTAGGCTTTGACAGAGGGAATTACACATATTCAAAGGAAGAATTCTCATTGGGGAGGTTCTGATTTGATATAAGGAAAAGTTTTTTAGGATAAAGGTGGTGAGGTAGTGGCACAGATTGCCCTGAGAGGTGATAGGTGCCTCATCCCTGCAGACATCCGAGGTCAGGCTGCTTGTGCTCAGAGCACCTGATGGAGCTTTAGGTGTCCCTGCTCTGTGGAGGGGACTTGGACCAGATGGCCTTTAGGAGTCCCTTCCAACTCAAATGATTCCCTGATTCTACGAATCCATTGATGCTCCTCGAGCTGGGTATGCAGAGGGCAGGGGCAGCTCTCATGTGGAGATGGGAGTGCTGCTGGGGAGCTATATTTTAAAGCAGGTTTGCTTTGGCTGTGATCTCATTGCCCCCTTCTGTGAAGGTTGTGTCAGTACAAACAGCTGCAAGCTGTGTTTCCAGAGCTCGAACTGACAGCCACGTGCAGTTGTGCAGGAAGGTCTCAGCAGACGGGCTGCTTCATCACTGCCAACCATTCTGCAAACAGCCCTTCTGATAGCATGGATTTCATTTTTTCTTCATTAAAATTAGAGTCCTTCAGCGCTCAAGGAAACCGCATTTGATTCGGGGATATCATGCAGGCAGTGAAAAGAAGTTTTTAAAAAATCAGCAGTTTTTTTTTGGAGGTTATTTGCTCAGCTCTGCTATTAATGTGGTGTTGTTTGCCAGACTGTGATCAAAACCACTTGGCAGGAGAGACTTCGTCAGGAGGGCGAGCCAGTGGAGTGGAGCTGTCATCTAAGTATGTCCAGAAAAACTGTTCTCTTGGCATAGAAAACGGACTGTTTTCAGAAATAATAAACATGCCCTCTAAAATTATGTTCCTTCTCTGTAAAATCATGGAGGGTCACCAGACTTTGACCCTACAGAAGGAGCGTAACACTTTATGAGACTTCTGTCAAAGCACGTGACAAAAAATAAATACGCTGTAATGAAGAAGTGTCAGTGTGATGGCTGAGATGTGCCTTCCTAACGCGTTCTGCCTCCTGCTGTAAGATGTGCAGTGCGTGCTGCCAGGCAAAGGAAGCCCATCTGGAGGGGATATCAAATCCATCCATTTTCTTGACGTATCAGTTGATGTAATTAACTTTTGTTTCATCTCCCGAGTAAACCTTGTAAACACCAAAATGTGTCAAAGTAAAATATAATTTATTGAAGGGTGTAATTTGTAGAAGTCCTTATGGTGTTTCAGCTGCTGGATAGAGCCCCAGATGCTGAATATCCATAAGGAACAAAAGCTCCATCCGGCCAAACCTTGGTTGTTCTCTGAGCAGTGCCAATAGATGGGTGAGATAGGGCTGAGGAGGGCTGTGGGGGCCACCTCTGCCTGCAGCTTTGTGTCGGGGCAGTAGCAGCACCTCCTCTTTGCTGCTCAGGATTTCCAGGTATATTTTTTATAGTGGTTCCTTCTTTCTCCTCTGCGGAGCTGAGGAGATCTGCTGTGTAAACTCGTGGATTGGGAGTGAGAAATGTCATTCACGAGAGCCCAAGTAAGCCAGTGTTGAGGCTTGGCCTGCCCTGAGCTCCCTGCTGTCACCGCTGGGTTGGTGTCTAGTCAAGCTAGGTGAAAAAAACACTCCATTCCACCACAATCAAGAAATTGCAGCTCTGTTTTTGAGGACTGTGCAGACTCGTCGTCAATGCTGCCGGGATGCCTGCAGATTTTCTGAATGAACACACCCACAGTACTCAGTGTAACCATCAGCCCTTCCTCTGTCGTTCAGAGGCACAAAAGCACTTCCTCACTGCCACCCTCAGTCTCACATACAGCACTCAGCCAGTCAGATGGCACTGCTGGGAACTCTATCGCTGCTGTTATACTTGTGAAGGGTGTAGAAGATACTGAAATTTCTAAAACCTGAGCTATCAGCTTGCTGAGGATGAGAATGCAAGTATTCGGCCTTGGGTTTTGCACACCCTGCCAACTCACTGAAGTTTTATGTTAATCAAGAAAAAGAGAAAGTCTTCCATTTGGTGGTAGTTTAGATTCTGCTCGGTTATAACTCACAACCCCAAAGCATAAGAATTAAGTTTAATAGTTCATAAATTACACAGCGTGCAGCACATGCTGTTGTAATCTCCACATAATCCATACGAAGTATTAACACTGATGTCTAAACAAAATTCAAAGTCACTGTAGGCAATCTTAAACCTCAGCTGTACAGTTTTCCTGAACTATTTTGGCTGTAGACGTGACTTTTCACCCCTCTACCCCCATATGGTATTAATTCAATTGTTTTGTATGTTATACATGCGTAAGAAATAGAAGGGATTTCCTCCAACAACAAACAGTGAGGATAAAAAGGTTGGTGTTTATAAAAATGTCAAACTGAAAGGCTCTTCCATAGCTTGCTGGAGGACAGGCTATCCTTTAAAACTCAAAGGCTTGTCATTCGGAGAGGAAAGCTGGAAGCTGATGCCCAGTTCCCACTCACTGGGACTCTCAGCAGCAAGCAGGCTGAGAGGAGGCTGAGGGAACTTGGGCTTGGTTAAAAAGATCAGGAAACAGCTGCAGAATTATTTGGTTCCCAGGGGTGTGGGTTTTGATCACCACCGTTTAGTTTTTGCTTAGGAGCTCAGCATGAACTGGAAGGAAAAGAAGCTCTGAGTACGGTTGGCTGTCTGCTGCAGGGTGTTGGAAAGGGAACCCTTCCTTGCAGCTGAGTGGTGCTGTCTTACGGGAGGGCTGGCAGGGTGACAAATGAGGGGTCAGGAGAAGACAAGGGATCATCACAAGTGTGTGCCGTTTGTTTGCAAGCACAAGGCTGTGCTGGAAGCCATTGGCCAAGGGCAGGCTGGCAGAGCTTTTGGAGTCCTTGGGCCCAATCCTAACA